AATTGTGATGCAAACTTCTACATATTTCTAGATATTTATTAACAATAAGATGACGTATTGGAAAACATTTCAGTAATCAATTTTTTCATGTCTTTTACTTACGATTTCTACACTTGTTTTAATATATTATAAGCAGAATATGATGTTTTAAGTAACTGCAACAAATGTATATAGATCTTATAATTCATTTCACAATTCTTATCAGTCTAACATACATAAACAATACATTATCTTCGTAAACTTAGTATGTATGCTGTTATCAAAATTATTTTTATGTATAAACTAACTTCTATATAAATTATTCATTTTCTTATTTCCCAAAGTTAAATAAAATATATTTTAATCAAAAATAAAATCTATTATTAATTGCACCAATAACAAATCATAAAATTGAAAATTAATTTTCAATTTTTTTTACTAACCCCAACAAAAGAATCGAGATTCATAGACAGTACGTAAGCGCTGGTAAATTCTATTGGTACTGCTGCACGACTCATAATTATTAATAAATTTCTTTTCAGGTTTCTGTTCATCGTCATCCAATCCATCGCAAAAACGTTGTCGAGTAATTGAATGCTCTATATTTCAAATAAACAAAGTATCATTAATTTTCTAAAATTAACAAATTTGATTATTTTGAACCGTAGAAAGTATTAATCCATTAGAATTAACAAATTTGATTACACAATTTATTGTTATATAAATTTATTTATTGACTTTAATATTAAATTATGTATATTTTGGGTTTTTAAAACCAAAAAATGCATAACAACTTAACTCGCACCTTTAATTTTACTTCGTTTCCGTACCAGCAATAGATAAAAATTTGTGTCAACATACAAGACATGTATAATATTAAAGGAAGATAGCTCGCATTTAAACTCGTTGATTTAGTCATTTGATATAAATTGGAACATACCACCAATGTACTGACTACAAATTGCATAGCAATAGTCATTCTAAATTTATTGTTTAATCTGAGTGCATATCTGTAAAATATGTATTACATAAATAACATTTTTCAAAATTTTTCAAGAGAAATAAAGTGAAAGATAAACATTATAACAATATGCAAAAAAATGTTACCAAAATGCTTCGAATCAGAACAAAATATACAAATATATAACAAAAAAAATGTTTTTTATTAATGTGAGATCTTTACTTTTTTAGTAATATGTGTATATTTGCAGAATATAAGATAAAACAACTAACTGCAATATACTGTCGTGGTGACGTACACAGTCGCGAAGAGTACTATCATCATTCGATACTTTGCTCAGTCGGCATTCTAAGATCTCTATTTGGCAGCAAATGTGCACCAACAATCCGCAAATGAGACTGTCACAGGCCACATTAACGAGCGATCCAGCCGTCAGACTAATAAGTTGATGAGCATATGTAAGACAAAATATGATGCTAGACGAATAATAGTCATACGGTAGCCATGCTCTATATGTTAAATTTCCTTTTCTGAACACCGTGAATAAAGATGTCACGGTTATACATGCGCAAGTTGTTTCTACCAAAATCGCATAGTAGAGTGTATTGATACTGCAAACTGTGGAGATAGTTACGCTTATTTATGTAACACAACTTCTAATATTTAACTATTAATTATCAAAATATAAAGATATTTGTAATAATTAGATGTTATTATTTATATAGTACTACGTGTTTATATATAATTTTCATATAAAAAAAAACAAAATAAAAATTTACAATAAGTTTTTCTAAATTAATTATTAACTTATTTTTTAAAGTAATCTTTAGCATTGTGGTAAAACTTACTATATAAGTCTATCGAATTTATATCGAATTCTCATTTCGTCCATCTCCAATGGTCTGTATGGCTTTTCGATGAGTACATTGATTAACATATTAATATTCTTTCGATTCACTAATAAACTGAGCATTTTAGAGCACGAAACAACCGATGCCATCGTGGCGTACAAATTTTCGGTAAAATCTTCGGCATTGTCAACATTCCAGATAATATCCAAAAATTGCGATATCAAAAAAGTATATAATAATATAATCATAAAAACCGTGTATGCATCGTATATTATACGCAAGTAAAATGACGAGCATGATTGTGGCCGCCAACATCCAACAATCGTTAGAATCTTGAAGGTTAATTGCAAGACACGCATCTTTTATTTCACGTTATGTCGGTTTCTTATATCTAAATTTCACTTAAATTTTTGCACAATAATTGCAAATATCATATAGAAAAAATTATTTGCGAGATGTTAAAAAATATTTTGCACAAAATTTTATTTACTTCAATATTTCTAAAACTATGGCATCTTTAAACTATATTAAGAAACAACGAATAAGACATTTTCTGAACGACTGACAATCGTAAAACGTTTGTGCCACGTTCTTTTCTTTCTCAAAGATTCCATAGTCCCTACTATTATGTTATTATCATAATATATCGGACTTGAATCATTGATTCCATAAATACATATTTATTGTTCCGTTAAGTACGATAATAACAGTCTCTAAAAATACAACGTTTATATTATAATGCTCCTTTTAGATAACGTTTTTATATTTCGTTACAAATATCATAAGAAACGGAAAAATATGAATGTCCCAACTATTTTATCATAAATTTTAATGTAAGTAACTCAGTTATATCTGCATTTCTCAAGTAAAATATTTTATTTATTATGACTACTAAGCGTGTTGCTAAGTCGTTGCCATACCGTACGATTCTATTTCCGTATTGATTTCAGGCACAATGATTTCTGACTTCCGTTAGAGGCAAATGTTCAAATTATATTACATTTGTGAAATATGTCATAAAAGACAGAATAGGCAAGAAAGTACAAAATATAAAATAGATATAAAATAGACGTTAATAAATATAAAATAATAAGAAAAATGTGCAACAAGATAACACAGATAATTTTTCTTTATTATTTTTATGTCAGATAATTTGAACGTAATAAATGCTAATTATAAATACTAACAGTATAAATATATACTTTTTCCTTTTTTCTCGCTCTTTTAAGATTTAATTTCATGAGTATATTTTTGCCATCAATCTTTTACAGAATTATACCCGTATTTTTTCAAGTAAGTTGTAAGTGGAATACGACGTCTTGAGTATCTAGAATTAGTGTATAAACACTCCTAATCTTGATTTAAATATATTCTGTAATTAATACATTTGCAACTAATTTCGCTAATAATATTAGATGCATTAGATTATAATATTATTATATTACACAAGATGTTGAATCTGTTTTTGTCATTCCAAATTTATATTTCTTGTGCATAATTCAGTTTATTATTTAAATAAAATAAAATAATTAAAATTTACTTAAATTCAAATTTTTAGTTTATTTTAGTAGTATAATAAAGTAATATATATGAGCAGCATTGTTCTAAAATGAATTTTGTCTAAAATTTCATTTTTAAAGTTAAAGATGACATAGTATTCAGTGTTAAGAGATTCATATTTTAAGCTTTAATGATGTTCTGAAAGCATTTTTACACCATCAATTTATGTGCTGAAAAAAATCTTGACATTTAAAGTATATTATGTTCTTTAATTAGAGACAAACAAAATATATTTGTTTAACATTTTTTTAGCTACTGTTTAGCAATTTTGAACATTTTATATCTTACTGAATGGCAAATTGTTATTTTCTGTAAAGCACGCAGTTTTCTTGTAACTTTCTTTCTTGTCTTTAAAAATTATAAATTTTGGATAAAATGCATTTTAAAATTCTGCTCCTCATATATTATAAATATCTTAAATCAAAAACATATTTAAATATACTTAAAAATAGAATTTGGCGAAATTAGTTTCACTAATATCTATACTAACACCCATAAAGGAATCAAGATTCATAGGAATAATATAAGCACAAGTAATTTGAATAGGCACAATTGTCCGCCTCATTATTATTATTAGAGATTTCTTTTTACTTTCATCCAGTGTTGGCCATTCCATTTCGAAAATGTTATCAATTATTTGATGACTCTACTGAAATATGTAAAATGCATCCATGGATGTAATTTTTGTTCAAGAAATAAAAGATAATTAAGTTACTGATATATACCTCTTAAATATTGAAATACTTTAACAATATTATACCATGAGTATTTTACTATTAAATATAGATTGAATAAATTTGACATATTATTTTAAAGCATTTATACTTACCACATCTACTAAATGTCTATTACCATACCTTTATTTTTATTTCATTTCCGTACCAACAATAGAAGAAGATTTGTGTTAACATGCAAGATATATACAATATCATTTCAATATATTTGGCTTTTGTAGTTGTTTTGCTTATTTGATAAAGGCTAAAGCATATTATCAACGTACTTGTTATAAATTGGATAATAATTATCAGTCTAAATTTTGTATTTACAATACACGCAAGTCTAAAATTTAATTTTGATTATGTAACGACATATTAATAATATATACATATTTTAAAGCAATAAATCAGATAAAAACAGTATTATAATAAGAAGTATAATTTAAAAGCTATTACATAAGAATTTCTAAAATTTATAAAATTATAAGACTCAACCTGATGATATGATAATGTTGATATACACAACCGCGGAGAACATTAGAATAAAATATAACTTTTTTCAAGCGACAAATCAAGATTTCAATTTGACAGCAAATATGAACCAGTAATCCACAAATGAGAGTGTCACAACCAACATTTATAAATGCTGCGGTAGCCAAACTTATCAGTTGATATATATACATCAAATAAAACAGTATCGTTGATGAGTAATCAAATGGTAACCATGCCCTATATGTTAATTTTCTATTTTTTAAATTCATAGATAAAGAAGATAAGATTATACATGACATCGTTACAGCTCCCAGATATACAAAGCGCCGAGTATTAATTCTAAAATAATTATAAAGTGTTTCTCAAATAGTACAATATATATAATAATTTTTCAAAATTTTTTAATATATATATTGTTATTTCTTTTAACTTAAAAAATTTACTTTTAATCATTTTTATATATGTTTGTTATATT